GGGAAAGGCTCAAATGGGAGGGAAAGAAAGAAAGTGCATGCAATTTCCACAATTCCACAATTTCCACTGTATCTTGGAGTTGTGGGCCCAACTGGATGGGCCATTGAACTAAAAAATCCCATTTAAATGTGAATATGTTTAAAATCCAAATGTCAAAATATTAAATTTGCTCCTTAAAATGCTGAAATTTCAAAGTTCTGCATCTGAGGCTTTTTTAAAAAATAAAAAGATGGTTGTTAATGTGCACTAAAGCAAGAAAGGCTAATTTGAATTGGAAATCTCTTCCTTATTTCTGTCCTGATGTTTCTTGAATAACAAGTTCTGCACTTTTTCTATGCTATGTTTTTAGCTGGTCTGAAATCCTATGCACTTGTAGTCAGTGGAGCCTCCTGAAAAGTCATGAATAACCTGTACTGAATATCAAATTTACTGTGCTATTTTTTTTTTAATCTAAAAACCTACTATATCTTTTGGATGACAAAAGTTATCAGCTAGGCATGTCAGGAACCTGTTTTATATCCCAGTAATCTTGGGAATTGGGTACTTTAATAGATCCTTCAATGTTATAGTTTACTATGATAGTAATTCCCTTATCAATTGCAATAAGATGCATTAGGTATCCAGGAAAACTTTTGTATACTACCTTCTGTATATTTTTAACTCACTAAATTAAGCAACTTTACTGTACATACTGTATGTTTTTAATTTTGGTTTTTAATAGGTTGCAATAGCAATCTTTTCAATTTGCAATGTGCCATATATGTATGTTCATTGTTGTTATTGTTGTTAGTTGCCAAGTTGTGTCCGACCCATCGCGACCCCATGGACAATGTTCCTCCAGGCTTTCCTGTCCTCTACCATCCTCTGGAGTCCATTTAAGCTCACGCCTACTGCTTCAGTGACTCCATCCAACCACCTCATTCTCTGTCATCCCATTCTTTTTTTGCCCTCAATCTTTCCCAGCATTAGCCTCTTCCCCAGTGAGTCCTTCCTTCTCATTAGGTGGCCAGAGTATTTGAGTTTCATCTTCAGGATCTGGCCTTCTAAAGAGCAGTCAGGGTTGATCTCCTCTAGGACTGACCGGTTTGATCGCCTTGCCGTCCAAGGGACTCTCAGGAGTCTTCTCCAGCACCATAGTTCAAAGGCCTCAATTCTTTGGCGCTCAGCCTTTCTTATGGTCCATCTTTCATAACCATACATTGCAACAGGGAAAACCGTAGCCTTGACTATATGTTCATAGAGAACCCAAAATACCTGCACCAAATATAAACTAATTAGAATACTGGAAGAAAAAATGAAGGGTCTAGAGAAAAGTCTAACTACTCTGAGAGTCAACCGAGAAAATGAAGAACTCCCAGTAAAGGCAGAAGTCTGTGTCCAAACTGAATATAGTAAAGAACAAACAACTAGCAGGAAAAATGAACCCCACATAGGTAGACTGATGGCAGCATGTCACTCACAGGATGAAAAAAAAATCAAGAAGACTGTCCTTGCTGCCCAGTTGAGCCCTGCTGGAGTGGAGCAACGGATTTCATATTCTCCTCCCACCCCCGGAAGAAAACATGCAGACAACCGGAGAAGAGACTTCATCAAGTATTCCAGTGACAGGAAAAACCTCAAAATTCCCCAAATAAAAAAAAAGTGTGTGTTGGTAATAGGTGACTCACTTTTCAGAGGAACAGAATCAAAAATTTGGAGATCAGACAATCTACCAAGGGAGGTATATTGACTCTAACATGCAAAGATGAAAGATGTGACAGAGAGGTTTACCAAAATAATCAAGCCCACAGATTATAATCCCTTTGCGCCAACTCAGAAAACTCAAACTGCCCAAGCAGCTGCTGATACAGTTCTACAGTTCTACAGCGGAAACATTGAATCTGTCATCTGCACCTCTATAACTGTCTGGTTTGGTTCTGCAACCCAGCAAGACAGACACAGACTTCAGAGGATAATTAGAACTGCAGGAAAAACAACTGCTACCAACCTGCCTTCCATTGGCGAGCTGTATACTGCATGAGTCAAAAAGAGGGCTGTGAAAATATTTACAGACCCCTTGCATCCTGGACATAAACTGTTTCAACTCCTAGCCTCAAAACGACACTATAGAGCACTGCACATCAGAACAACTAGACACAAGAACAGTTTTTTTCCCGAACGCAATCACTCTGCTAAACAAATAATTCCCTCAACACTGTCAAACTATTTACTAAGTCTGCACTGCTATTAATCTTCTCATCGTTCCCACCACCCATCTCCTTCCACTTATGACTGCATGACTGTAACTTTGTTACTTGTATCCTTACGATTTATATTGATATTGTTTCCTGATTGTTTATTTGTACCCTATGACTATCATTAAGTGTTGTACCTTATGATTCTTGATGAACGTATCTTTTCTTTTATGTACACTGAGAGCATATGCACCAAGACAAATTCCATGTGTTTCCAATCACATTTCCTTGGCCAAAAAAATATTCTATTCTATTCTATTCTATTCTATGCTATGCTATGCTATGCTATGCTATGCTATGCTATTCTATTCTATGCTATGCTATTCTATGCTATTCTATTCTATTCTATTCTATTCTATTCTATTCTATTCTATTCTATTCTTTCTCCTCTTTCACATTAGGACAAAAGCCTGAAAACGATAGCAAGGGACTATGAAGCAGCTAGACAGAAAAGGTATACTCAGATTATTCAAGCCTATAACCACCAGTGTGCATCTCTACATCATTTGGCCTGCAATGGATCCTGTCAATCAAAGAATTCTGATAGTTGGGATCCAGAAGAGACTCCTCCCAGGGTGAGATTTGTCCCCACCCTCCTATCCTTCCCCAAGAGGTTGAAGGCCTGTCTCTGCCAAATGGCCTGGGAATCAAATGAGGGAATACCACACTGGAAGTGGCTAATAGATTGATAGCAAACCCACCTCTCCTCCCCTGCATTCCCTACTTTCTCCCTCCCATTTTTTAATCTCATATTACAGTGTTTTCGTTGTTTATTTTATTGTTTCATTTTTTTGCTACTGTTAGCCTTACACTTCTTTTCATTTCTTTGTTTGTACTCTTGTAAACTACCTAGCGTAGCCCTGCAGCGAGATAGGCAGCAAATAAATTTATCAAATAAATAAATATGCCTAAAGATAGCTTCAAATAGAAGAGAAAAGGTAACTCTACATGAGCATCTTTTCAAAGTTTAAAAGTCACCTCTGGTCATGTTTTTCATTTTTATAAAGTTAGTCTTAAAAGTCTTTTAATTCTTCCATTTGTTTTCTTCCCACAGTACTCTGAGTAATAAATCATATGGAGTTTATCAGTCATACATCTATATATTCAGACACATTGCTTACTATTTTTCTTCTAACTCTCCGTGAATTGCATTAAATGGAGGGAAATCTAAAATAAATTTACTGAGGTTTCTGCGAAAGAGGAGATATTCCTTCTCATTATGTACATCTTGAGCATTTTAGAGATGATCCCACTTAAGTGAGTACTCATGAAAAGGTGTTGATGTGGAATAGCAATAGCAATAACATTTAGACTTATATACCTCTTCATAGTGCTTTACAGCCCTCTCTAAGTGGTTTACAGAGTCAGCCTATTGCCCCCAACAATCTGGGTCCTCATTTTACCCACCTCGGAAGGAGGGAAGGCTGAGTCAACCTTGAGCCTGGTGAGATTTGAACTGTCAAATTGCAGGCAGCTGGCAGGCAGCAGAAGTAGCCTGCAGTACTGCACTGTAACCACTGTGCCACCGTGGCTCATACTCTCTCAGTATTATAATCTATCTATCGTTGTATTCTTTCATAGCAGCAATGAGTGGACATGTGATATATAAAAGGATGTGAAAAGGATTGCATGAAAACCACAATGTATGGTCATCTTCTTAAAATGATAGATCAATAAAGTAAACCATTATTTTCCAGCAAAATTGATGACATGCTGATGCTTGTCTTGGTATATGTTCAGTATGTACTCTCCAGATTTGATCCACAAAGAATGCTACCCTATAGGTTTTCCTTCTTTCTTATTGAATTTAAAGGAGTAATTAAGACCCATATTTAATTTTATTTCTATATTTAAAAAGGAACTCTGTAGAGTTGAAACCAGAAATTTTTCTATTAGGCATGATCAAAGAAAACCATAGGAAAGAAACAAAATATTTAATATTACATAGAATTATGGCAGCCAGATTGGCACTAGCGCAATATTGGAAAATGGATCAATTACCAACGGATCAACTAATAATCCAAAAAATTTACAATTGTGCAGAGATGGACAAATTAACATTTGAGTTAAAAGACAAGGCAGACTCAAAATATTACATGGTATGGAATAGATGGTACGATTGGATAATTAAAAAAAAAAGAGAGTAAATGTAAAATTCTGAAAGACAATAATATCAATAAACATGCACCCTCAATAGAATAAAGGATGTGATAAAGTGACAAGTCACTTTCTACATTTTTTTTTCTTTTCTTTTACTTATTTTGTTTCGTTTACTTTTTCACCTTATTTGTGAGTAAGTAATGTTATGTGGATTAATATAAATGTATTTTTTATGTACTCGATATGACATTTTATCTTTTTTATGTTTAATAAAGTTTGTTTTTTTAAAAAAGAAAGAAAACCACAATGTATGGTCATCTTCTTAAAATGATAGATCAATAAAGTAAACCATTATTTTCCAGCAAAATTGATGACATGCTGATGCTTGTCTTGGTATATGCTCAGTATGTACTCTCCAGATTTGATCCCCACAGAAAGCTACCCTATAGGTTTTCCTTCTTTCTTATTGAATTTAAAGGAGTAATTAAGACCCATAATTAATTTTATTTCTATATTTAAAAAGGAACTCTTTGGTTGCTGTTATGTCTATTCAAGGCAACTACACAAAGGGCGTAATTATAAGATGATGTAAGAAGAAATATAAAGAAAATATTATATAGTCTTTCTTTAACTCCTGGAATAGGGATAGATTTAAAAAATAAATAAATAAATAGAGGAATTCTGTTGTTCAAAGGAAACATTGAGATGCCATGTTTCTTCCAACCATCTCTCCTGTACCATGCTCTCACAGTTGGCCAAGTAAAACTTCACACATAAGACTGTCATTTGCATAATCATTCTTTATTTGCTTCCAGTTACTTTGGGGAAGAAATCAACTTTGATTTATTATCATTTTTAGTGGAAGATTTTTGCAGATGAAAAACCCTGCACAAGAGTGTTGGATATGTTTATGCTGCTGCTGCAAAGCCAATCCGGTTGTTGCCCAAGTCGTACACGGAGTAGTAGGCCCTGAGGAAGACATCACCAAGGATCCATAGAGATTGCCCATTCTGGGATGACAGGTAAGTAGACATGATGGCGATCTCGCAATAGTCACCATCATACTGTTGAGGAAAAGACATAGGCTGCATTAAAACTTTTGGGCTAAGGCAAAATATCAGAAATAACCTGAGACAGTTAACTTGAGAAAGCAAAGTTTAACTTTCAGTATTCAAACTCTCTACAATTGTAAATCACATATAACTGCCTAGATTTTTAACCACAAAACTATCCACTATTCTGCAACTGCATCTTAAAGAATACATTTTTAGGCCTGCTCAGTTCATGATTACTCAATTCCCTACAAGAAAAGTGTGATCTAAATTTCAAGACATGGACCACCAGGTGACAAATCGTTGGCTTCAATTACCCAAGCCTCTCAAATATTTATTTTCTTAATGGCACCCTACTTTACACCATACTGCACCTTCGGGTTTCCCATATCTTTTTTATATACCATAGTATCTTGCCAACTTTTTTAGCTCCTTTCTTCAGCTTTCCCATGAGGGCATCTCAAAGTCATGCTCCCTGCTTTTCCATGGGACAGCGAAGAGAATGAAATGTCATGAAGAGATCCATCTGTGCTATGCCTTTCTATAGAGCAGTTGTAAATGACTGATACAAGGTAATTTCAGATACCTAAGACCAACATGAAAAGAGCTCTTGAAGAGAATGACCTACTGGAAGGGTATAGGCAGATGGACTCAGGGGGTAATAAACTCCATTGATGGCAAATGTGATGGTCGGCATGTATTCAATGTTACTGCAGTTAACCGCAAACTATAGAATAGGAAAGGAGATATAGAGAAAATGTAGAAAAACTGTAAGTACAATATTCTATGGGATAAACCAGACTGTAAATAAGTAAGTAAGTTTATACAGCATCCTGCTCCCCTTCTTATTTTGAATTACAGCATCCTGCTCCCCTTCTTATTTTGAATTACTTTCCTATACAAGCACATTTGCTTAATTCAATATCAAGATGCATTAGAAGGGAAAACTCTATTTCTTGCTTTAGCCTTCTTAAGAAAAAAGCCAACTCTTCCCTATACTGGCAGATGGGTGGGAGTTGAACTTCCATTAGCATCTTGTCTGGTTTGGTTTGACAAAAGCTAAACTAAGAACTAGCAACTACAGTAAGGTAGGTCTTGCCAGATAGCTGTACATTTTCTGGCAACCTCCCTCATCCCACCCCACCTCACAATTCCCATTGCCTAGGTAAATGAAATGAGTATTAAGGGAGTCACTTTTTCCATCATCTTATATTGGATTCATTTGGGATATATTTTCATACCCACAATAAGAGTATCCTAGGTCTCTTGCTGATATTTAGGATTGCCAGTTATACTCAATATTCCCTGTCCCTGCATATAGCAGCTTTCCCCTACCTGGCCATTGTTGCTTTGCTGAGCTCCAATGTTCTGCATCAGGTTTCCAAAGAACTGCCCAGGAATAGCGAGTAGGGATGTTCCGGTATCCACAATCGCTTGGCACCCCTGACTACACCAATTGGTTTCCTGGTTGTTGACCAGGAATCTAGAGAAAGAAAGTCCAGAGATACTTGCTGTTATATTGTTCTTCCACACTTAGTCAACAGATACTCAGTGGCATCACCAAAACGGGAGCAGCTGTGGTTATTTTCATATAAAATTAGATTGTTTTCTTGCCCTAGTTTTGCCACTGGACCACCAAAGTCATGGGTTTGTTTGTTTTTTGTTTCCGATGAGGAAAAAAAAGATTATTGTCCCAGAAATAAAAGCAAACTGGAAAGGCATATTTGTAGAGTACATAATTAACGACTGCTGACCAGCTGCTACTAGTAGAATCAGAGTTGCCTTGGTGTAGGAAGCCAGAGACTCTTCTGCTGACTGCCAGCTGACTGCAATTTGGCAGCTCAAATCTCACCAGGCTCAAGGTTGACTCAGCCTTCCATCCTTCCAAGGTGAGTAAAAATGAGGACCCAAATTGTTGGGGGCAATATGCTGATTCTGTAAACGGGTTAGAGGGGGTTGTAAAGCATTGTAAAATGGTATATAAGTCTAAGTGCTATTATTTATTATTTATTTTATTTTTATTTATTTATTTTATCAAGTACGTATTAGATAAATATATATAAGTATAAGCATGAATTGAATACATAAAATAGATACAAATAGAGGAAAGATTAGGACAGGGAGGTACGCACGCTGGTCCTCTTATGCACATCCCTTACAGACCTCTTAGGAATGGGGTGAGGTCAACAGTAGACAGTCTTAGATTAAAATTTGGGGGGTTTTGGGATGAAACCACAGTCAGGTAGTGCATTCCAGGCATTGACCACTCTGTTGCTGAAGTCATATTTTCTGCAATCGAGTTTGGAGCAGTTCACTTTAAGTTTGTATCTATTATGTGCTCTTGTATTGTTGTGGTTAAAGCTGAAGTAGTCTTGACAGGTAGGACATTGTAGCAGATAATTTTATGAGCTACGCTTAGTTCATACCGAAGGCGGCATAGTTCTAAGTTTTCTAAGCCCAGAATTTCAAGTCTGGTGGCATAAGGTATTTTGTTGCAAGCAGAGGAGTGGAGGAGTGTTGCTATTACATTCAATTGGATACCTCTCCATTTAATACTTTTGCCTTTTCTCCTATTAAAAACTACCAGTTGCAATATTCTGAGTGGTTCTGGGGCCTCACAGGTATCCTTTGATGTAGAGATTTCAAAATTCCATCTCCAAGGGATTATTCCTCATCTAAGACTTAAATTTCTGTTGGTTTTCCATCAGGCTCTTTGGTAAATATTACTACTGAAAACAGCCTTACCCATCAATCGCAATTTGCCAATACTCTTCTTGGGTGACTGGACTCCAGTTAATCTGACCAGAGTAGAGACTGGAATCGACTCCTCCGAATATAAGTGAACCACCATTCTGAACGCTTGGCTGCCTAAAAAGATCAATGGAGAAAGTCAGAAGAACAATCTTATTAAGATATATTGCTGGTTCATACCAATGTTTCCTTTTTAGTTGACTGAAGGACCTGTGTGTGAGGGCCTTTTCATTGTGAAATAATACCCTCCTTGAAGGGCTGCCTAGTGTTAAGGGACAGTATTATGCAACTCCAGAAATAGAAGAGGCCATTTAAGTAATCCATTCTCACTATCTGGAATAGAATTCAGTTTAAACCAGGTTTTTTTCAAACTTGGCCATTTTTGTTGGATAGACTTCCCAGAATTCCTCAGCTAGCATGCTGGAAACTGAAGTCACCCACCTTAAAGTTGCCAAGTGTGGAAAAACATTGGTTTAAACCAGTCGTGAATAGTCACTCACTATGATCTTCTATAACAAATCTGTTGAAGAGGAGCCCAGCACCTCCCTGGGTATTTGATTAACTATCAAACTGCTCTTATAGTTAGGAAATGTTTCAAAATACTAATCTGGGATCTGATTCTGATACCTTAAATCTATTGTCCAGGATGACAGATAATAGGGCTTTTCCTTTCTCTGTGTCCATCCTGAAAAGTGCTAAAGAGTCCTGTGAGATCATCTGGCAAATCAGAAGGTGCACAGAGTAAAGGACAAATATGATAAGGTAAAAAATAGTACTCTCTATCTTATGCCAGTAATTTCAAGAACCATTTTTAAAACTTTAAAGAAATTCTAAAGCACCCTGAGAATAATATAGTCAAAATAGAATCTATTTTAATAGGAAAAAATGTATCAAGCAACTGGAGGACTATTTTTCTTATAATTATAAAAGAAAGGCATGAGCAACATTTCATGGCTAGGACTCAATAATACTTTAGAGCAGCTGAGACTTTAGTAACCACTACCAAAGGGTCTGTGTTCAAATCTCTATCCTGCCATAAACTGATAGGATGTTTTTAGAACAATCATTCTACCTCAGTCCTACCTAGTATTGGTACTACGTAGCAATGTAAAGTTGTTATTTTCAAAAACGTCCCTCTCTCTGTCTGCCTTTTAAATTAATGTGAAGAAGTGCTTTCTTGCATCTGAAATCTGTAATCCAAAGAGAATCTACTATAAATATTTTACAGAAACTATCACTGGATAGCTTTCTAAAACAGATATGTAATGTGAGAAACCAAAGGTCAAAAAGGCCTTGCGATCTTAAGTTGTCCATCTCAAAATTCCAACCATAGAAATGTTCTCCATAATTCTTGTTGACATAGATTGTAAATTGTATACAAGGTATAGACGACAATTGAGAAACAATAATTGTAGTAAACTGAAACAGCCAAATTAAAAAAAGGAAGGTAGAAAAGACTTCATACTCACTGACTCAGGTAAAAGCTAAAAACAGGAGCATCAATCAGATTCTCCTGGATCATTCCCTGCATTACAGTGGTGGCACCACCAGAAGAAATGGAGGGATAAGCCAAACCCAGGATGCCATCAAATTTCGCATAGAGAAAAGCAGTGCCAGGCTCAGTTTCACTTAGGCCAAATTCTTGATTGGTAATAGAGATGCCTTGGATCTACAAAGGAACAGGACAAGTCAGAAGATAGGAAAAATATATGGCACAATAGCCTAACAAAAGGTCAGAAAATTGAAATTATGGATAGCTAATCTATTTTGTTGTAATAGAGGAATAATTCATTAGGCAGAGTATTAGAGGATGGGAAACCTGTTCTAACATCATGGTCCATTGATCATGAAATATATTAAAAAGGTTTTCATAATGGTAGCCTTTTTGATATAAATGGATAGATTCAACAAGAGAACCCTCATTGAAGCTTTCTTATATTTTCAAATGTTCAACTCATAAATATGCAATCAACTGGAAGAGCTAATGTCATGAGAAGGGTGTTCACGAGGAGTTGGAGCACCAAAATAGATACTTGGATGTGGAAAACACAGAAGGCAACTTATTTGGGGATCTCAGAGCAGGGCGCTAACACTGATTGAATTCCTACTCTGTACCATCACCAGCTCCTAGTATTTTCCCCTCTCACAACAGTGAAGGTGTTGTGTTGCCCAGGCCTCTATCCACTGATCTTTGGAAAGGATTGGAAGGTGCTTTTTTTAATAAAAAAGTTTTTATTTTCTGATCAAACAAGTATACAATATAAACAATCATTCAAACTATCATCAAGAAAAAGAAAAAGAAAATCAATCCTTGGTAAACTCAATCTTCAACCCCTCCTCACCACCCCCCACCCCCGACTTCCCAGAACAGAAAACAGGGCATAGGTTTCACCAAACATTCACTAAAATAAACTAGCTAACTGTAAGATTTAATAACTCCCAATACCCCTTAACTCCCCTTTTACAATTTCATCAACCTCCCTTTTTATAGACTCAAAGTAGCGTATAATCCAATAACTCTAAGAGTTTTAAAGCCATTAACAAATATTAAACATTCAAACCTTAAAAATTCTCTTAATATATCAGTAAAGTATTCAATTCATTTGCAAAAACATTTTTCCCCCTCCTACTTTTCTCAAAGTTCAGATATTTTAAAATCTCATAACAAAAAATAAACCTTAGATATTCAGTAGTTAAATTTCTACATTTTTTAAGGTTCCTAAATTTTCCCCCTTCATTATTCCTCCCTCCAACTTTTAGAATTTTAAAAGATAATCATCAACATAATTAACCATTAATACATAAACTAGAAAATCAAAAAGGATTAATCTTACATTCAACCATTAATGCATCATATTTAAAAATCAATATTTAACTTTATACTTTTTCCCCCTCAGTAGTTATAACACCTAAAACATAATCATTTTTAACCATGAGTAAGTTCCTAAATTTTCCCCCTTCATTATTCCTCCCTCCAACTTTTAGAATTTTAAAAGATAATCATCAATATAATTAACCATGAATACATAAACTAGAAAACCAAAAAGGATTAATCTTACATTCAACCATTAATGCATCATATTTAAAAATCAATATTTAACTTTATGCTTTTTCCCCCTCAGTAGTTATAACACCTAAAACATAATCATTTTTAACCATGAGTAGAACAACTGCAAAGCCAAAAGAAAAGGTTAATCTTCCATTCTTGCTTTCTTTTTATATTTTTTCCAGTCTTTCTGCATCCCTCCTACTTCTATTTTGAGGAGGTTTTTCATTTTAATTTGAGGTTGATGTAACTGCGAAGATTGTCCCCTTTTTAAGAAAATTTCCTCTGATTTAGAGCCCCCAAATCGCCTCTTCTTGCTTATATAAATCAGTTCATTCCTTCGTCTGTAGAACCAAAGTTTGTCAAGAGTTTGTGAAAAAAAGTTCAGTTGTTTCTTTTTTATTAAATGTGTAAATGCCACTGGCAAATCTCCTTCATCTTCTAAAACTTCGAAAGTCTGATCATTTACTACTTTTTTCCAAACCAAGTCGTAATTTTGAAAGATTCTATCAATTTTTTCAAAAAGAGCAGAGAATAAGCTCGAAAATTCTTGAGAAGATTCTTCCACCTTCTCTGCTGCAATCAGAATATCTCCTGAGTTGTCATCATGCTCCGTACTTATTTTTGTCTCCTCAGTCATTTCTGTTGTTATCCCTTTAAGAATTGCTATTTGATTACTTATAGCTGCAGTATGATTATTCATGGCTTCTTTTATAAATTCTGTAAATTCTGCATCAAAATCCTTATAGCTCTGTAAATCAGACAACTGTTCCATTTCTGACACCTCCAAATAGCTTCCAGCACTTTCAGGATCTTCTTTCTTAGAAGCCATTTTATTTTTAAAAAAGATTTTCTTTCTTCCCACAACCATAAAATCATAAAGTCAAAGCCATCCTTTTGAGCAGCTTTCAGCAATTTCTTTATAAATCACCAAACGAAATAATCTTTTCCCAAACCGCTCTTCAAAATCTATTCCAACAACTTAAAGCCAGTCTCTGAGCACGAGTCTATTAGCGAAGACTTTCCTTTCTAACTTTCACTTTTAAAATCGCAACAAAGAAACGCCATCTTTACTTCCAGCTCAGAAAAACCAATTAGAAACATTGTATCCCCGGAGTTAAGTGTTATACTTGCAAAAAGCTTGTCCTCCTGCTTCTGTTCCGCCTGCTTTTTTGAAATCATTTAATCTTCTGTTTGACAGCAGAAATTGGACGCAACGCCTAGCTCTGTAAAAAAAACAGAGTCCCCCCGGATCCGGAGCTTCAGTGGGCTGAACGGGGAGCTCTCACCCTCCTAACCCCTGGAATTAATCCAGGGGTTTTTGGGGAGCTCTACCCTCACCCACCTGCTCTCCTCCCCTTCTTTTCCCGAAGGGGAGATTTTCAAGCCGTTTGACAGCTGATTAACGCTGTTAGAACGGCTCAACGGGATCGCGGGGCGGCGGTCTAAAAAGACCGTCAATGGCGCTGCGGAGCCAACCCGGAAGTCTCGATTGGAAGGTGCTTTTGATGTTCCCTTTGTGCCATCCATATCAATCAGCTAGCAGGTCTCCCTTCTTCATCCATCAAAGCCTTGGCGACATATAATGACATTAGCTAAACCCCATGAAACTTCACCAGAAGGTGAGACCAGTGAAAATGCCCCAATTTCTTTCTACGTCTATGAGATTTAAGTATTTGCAGGCTTGAATGTTTTCAAGATCAGTTCATTACTAACTATCATAAACCTTTTGATTTTAATCTCTGACCAAACCAATACTGTCCATTGTATAATAATAATATTGCCGTGTGCTAGGAATATCAAGTCAAACAAATACGTTCCACTTGGAGAGAACTGCTACTTACTGTTACAGTATCATAGCCAAAGACCCCAGTGAGACTACCACTTCCATACTGTAGAGAAAAAGTTTGTCCATTGCTGGAATAACTAGAAGACTCATTGGGATTAAATAATGGATGGTTTTCTGGTAATAGAAATGAGAGAGGGGGAGAGAAGGTTTTACTTTTGAATCAATAACAAAACCAGGTTTAAATAACAGCATAAAATAGGTGTGAAGGACAAAAAAAATGTGTATTTTTTATTCTTAAATGAACAAGAAAGAATACTCACCGCAACTCGGACTCTGGCAATAGACGGATGACACCCAGAGATTGGATGACCCAGTGTCAAAGAGAACCATGAAGTTCTGGGGTGGAGTTCCAATACTGATCTCTCCATAATAGCTCATCTATAAAAAGGAAAACATGTCATCATTCAGGGCTTCCACACTTGAATGTTGATAATGTAAGGACTTAACACATCCAACAGAACATTCTGTACACACTTAAAACATATCATTCAATATATTTTAGAAATATCTATAGGCAAAAATATAGAAGAAATAAAAATTTCAGAAACATGGTTTTAGAATTCCAACTGATTCGTAAGTTTTTTTTTAAAGTAGGTACTGTACAGCCACATAAGTACACTTACGATTTAATTAGGTTTTCATACCTGCTTCATGGTTAATTGGGTACATATAACTGTGTTTGATGTTAGTTATCCAGATTTCCAAATTATAACACAATTGCAATTGGACGTATGATTTTCTCAACTAATGTAAACTCTTCCTGTCTAGTTTTCATCTTGACATAATTGTGATTGTTTACTTTTAACTAACCAGATACTCACATCCATGTAGTTAGCAAGGGGCTCCTCACCAATGGCAAAATTATTGATATATTTGCTGGCTGGATCATAATACTTGTGTAGGAGTGGTCCATCGACACCTTTTTCCCCCATCACTTGCCTTATGGACTTGAATCTTTTTAAGGGGATTCTGTGTGAGGTAAGCAGTTAAGCAGAGAATCAAACTGGCAGCTCTAGACACTTCCCACATTGAGGTTTTTTCATTGAGATTTTGTAGGTGGTCTAAGAGTTTACCTGGACTGAACTCAATATCACTTAATTAGTAATGCTAATTTCTGTTTCATTCTTTCGGGGGTTAAATCTTTTTTTCATTGAGCAGGAAATCAAACTGAAGAACTCCAATGTCCCCCTTTCAACTCTACTGTTCTACAACAGGGTTACAAATTTGAATAATAACAAGATGTTATCTAATGTTGTCTATTTTATCAAGGAGCTGCAGTGGCACAGTGGTTTGAATGCAGTACTGCAGGCTACTTCTGCTGACTGCCAGCTGACTGCAATTTGGCAGATCGAATCTCACCAGGTTCAAGGTGGACTCAGTCTTCCATCTTTCCGAGGTTGGTAAAATGAGGACCCAGATTACTGGGGGCAATATGCTGACTCTGTAAACCACTTAGAGAGGGCTATAAAGTACTGTGAAGCAGTATATAAGTGTGCTATTGCTATCAAGTGCTGGAAGCCGAGGCTGTACCTGCATAATTCCAGTTAACTAAATGCAAAGAAGAAGAAGAAGAAGAAGAAGAAGAAGAAGAAGAAGAAGAAGAAGAAGAAGAAGAAGAAGAAGAAGAAGAAGAAGAAGAAGAAGAAGAAGAAGAAGAAGAAGAAGCTCATTCACTATTTTTGCAGAGAGAAGATGGAATGGGATGAATTTGTCTGAAGTGGTGTAGGGTTTCCTGCCTAAGCAGAGGGTTGGACTAGAAGACCTCCAAGGTTCCTTCCAACTCTGTTATTTTGTTTTCTGAATTATCTGCCTAATGCAACACAAAAAATGTATTACATCATCCTGAAAATATCCACATAGGAAACAGAGGTGTTTTTTATCATAAAAGCTGCACAGAATGGTGGTTACGCCTAATTTTAACAATGCATCTGAGGGTCTCCTAGGAGTTGTAATCACTTATCCTAGTGTATACCTCTTTAGCTGTAGTCCTACATCACTAAGAAAATGCTACCTAATTGTCTAGTTTTGAGCCAAAACATAAAGTGAATCCAGTAATTCTTCAGCATAGACGCTTCTGAATTTGGGGATGCCGTCCTTCAGCAAAAATGCTATGAAAAAATAAAAGTAGTGTACAGCAAGATCGCCTACCAAAGGCATAAAAAGTATAAAAGCATATATTGTTCTAGAAACTATACCCAAAAGGCATTAAAATTTCTGAATATTTTAGAAAAAGGACATCCATCTAATACAGAAATGCAATGAGCTTAAGAGCATAAACATAATAAATGCTGGATCAAACCCCTGACTCATTTAGTCCAGCAGTGGCCAACCCACTGCTGAAGAAAGTCCATGAGTTTCCCATCAGATGGTCTTCAAAGGCAGGTACATCAAGTGTCATGCCTACTGTCCCCAGAGACTTCCACAAATCCAAACCTTTTTTGGAGCTAAGTAAGCAGACATCATTTAAGAAAGAAAACAATTAGGAGAGAGAGAGAGAGAAACTGAAACAGATTTTTTATTAAGAGAGCAACTGAAGCTGAAAGGCAATTGAAGCTATTATATAATTATGCTATACTCACTTGATAATAGCCTCACTGAGGTGAAGGCATACTAGAGCCAGAATTAGCCACTTCATGGTCCTCTTTTCCCAAAGGCAGTTGCTAACTTGAATTTTTTAGCTCCTGCAAGGACCTGGAACACTGGGTAAAAATGGCTATGCTAGGTTCCTTTCTTTTATACCCTGAGTCGGGGCATTTTTTTCATGAACATATTCCACAAAGTCATATGGGAGTCCTTATCAATGGATCATATTTACATGTCTCTCAAAAACATGTAGAAATTTATCTCATGTAAACCTATTTTATCAGTAAAGTAAGTAAATGCTGTTTAAATAATGTTCTAAAGCAGAGATTGGTACTAGTTCTTATCATCATGTCTTCAGTTCTCTTAATTAAAATATTTCCACTTGTACATGTGACAATAATTTTGATGTGTGTTATGAAAGGTAGGCTGAAGGAAACTTTTTGCTTATAGGTCTGAATTTAAAATGGAAAAATACATGGTCACACTGAAATCAGATACTGTATGTAATCTATATTGTTTCCATCCAAGGCCTGCCTACAGCATATCAGCAGCCCAACAATTCCATGTTGTAATCTTCTAAATGGAAAGGTTACATTTATTTCAGGGAAGATCCATTCTGAAATACAACTGGAATAAGCAAGAAGAATCCATACCCTATTTTGGGAACACCCTGAATAATCCAAAACCCAGCATCACAATGGCAATTATCCATGGTACAGTAATTTTTACAAATAAAGAAAATATAGTAATTTTTACCATTTATTAAAAAAAATTAATGGTATTTTTATCATTAAAAAATCAAACTCGTTTCTTTTAAATATGAAACTTCAAACCACACACACACTAGTGAACTCACTGTGTTAGTAGCATCCCTTCTCTGTCATCCTTGGCAGCTGAAATAAAGAAATGCAAAATATGTTAGCCTGAGTAAAAAAGTTGGCCATCCCTGGATTCAGCCACCCATAACAAAGCCATAGGAGAGTGAGTAGAACATTATACTATAATGCAGTTGATAATGGGGGTGGGGAGACCCAGGAAGTTTTCGTCTTCTAAATCAGACTATGCAAACATCTAATTTATAACATAATATTGTTTATAGATTGTCAACACTTCTTCTCATCTCAGGAAGAGATCATCCCATTGTCTGTTATTACCTGAAGCCTTTAACTACAGATGAAAATTTGGGATCACCAGACTACAGATTCATCCATTTCTCAACTTTGCCCTTCTCTTGTCTCTGGCCACACTATCTCATTTCCTGCAATAAGAATGTCATGCCATTCATGAGATGCGGGGGAATTCACTGGAGAAAGCAATTATGTTTGGAAGAGTTAGTGGTAAAAGGAAACCAGGCGATCAAAGAACACAGTGGTTGGACACTATCAAAGTGACACCAATCAGAGCATAGAAAAACTCAAAGAAATAGTGCAAGATCAGAAGATGTGGAGAGGCCAGGCCAGTTGGTGGTCCATCAAAAGAAATAACCTGTATCCTAAGAACCTTCATTTAACCAGTGGTGTGGAACAGGAGCTATTTTTTGGCTGTCACCTCGGTTCTAACTTCTGATTTCTGACCTAAGAAAGCTTGTTTGCTGCAACTTGTGGCAAACCCAGTTGGGTTACATCAGTGCCTCCAGACCCAAAAGTGCTTTTTCAAATGACAACTAGACTTTCAAGGACTTTCAAGAAAGTCCAGTTGCTTCTTGAAGAAGCATCTTTGGGACAACCATGACCTGGATGACTGAGAATCTCCACAGACAGTGCCTCCAGGGGATGGAGAGTTGAGGACTGGATTAATGACTTCAAGTTAAGATGGTTTGGGAAGTGGACCTAGAGGGAGCAGTAATTGCTTTCATTCTTGGGTGAGAAGTTAGGGGTGAGGTGAAGCTTACCTGGCACGTTGAAAGTGGAGCTTGTTTTCTTTTGGCTATCCTGGTGAGAGTGGGATGTCCAGGGGACGATGTTGAGTGGGTGATGAATAGGTTCCTTATATCACAGCTGCTAAATACTAGGTAGAAGCACTCAAGTTCCGCAGTTTGTTAGCCAAAGGGCTCTTAGTAAAATTGTAGCTGGTCCCTTTGACATGGGCAGAAAGGGAAGTAAGTGATTGTACACTGCTAGGGGGAAGAGAGCAGTAGGAACACCAAGGCAAAGGGAGATATGTCAAGAATGAGAATTCATCAGAATTCCGGAGGGAAATTGGTATAGTTCCTGAAGTGTTTCCTGGCCCAATTGAAAACTTAATTTCAGCTTCTATTGAGTAGGTGACAATGGCCTTGGATCAAATTATTCCTATGCAGATTTTCTGTTTGTGAATCCCAGGTACCTCCCTGATTTTCTTCGTAGGCTTTGTCTTCTGGCAAAAACAGGCTTATGTCTCCATGCTTAACACATCCATAAATAGCCAGCTGGCAACCATATTTTGGGTGACCATGTCCCTTTTTTGGTGGGGTTCTTTGAGTTTCTTTCTCATACTTTCTCATACTTTAATCTTTTCTGCAAGCACTTCCCCCACTCCCCACTTTTATGGCTTTCTCATATTTCCCCAAGATCAGTTCTACATTCTTTTATACTATGTTCAGGTTTACATGTAAATAAATGATAATGACAAACTGCCTTTGAAAGGAAAGGCTTCAAGTAATGTTTTTGGTTGCCAAATAGGTGGGACAATGCAACATGAATTTAGGAATGGTTTGTGAACCTGGGAAGTCCCAAAACATTTCAAGAGAAGACAGTGACAGCCTACTTCCATAATGCTGATCAAAAAATTGCAATGGGTAAAGACACTAGGAATCAATTGACTTAAGAGTATGTTTGCATAATGTAGTGCTTCTAAGATGGTTTTCATTTGTTTCTCACCTCCAAATGAAGAAAATCTCGGCCTACCTTTTCAGCAGTTGATGACCGGAGCTCTGGAAACCTGAAACAGGACACTAAGGCCTAAAGATTATCTACCTCCAAATAAAGTGAATGTGTAATCATACCACTTTTCTAGAAAGTATTCATGCTCCTAAATGTACCTAGAGAGATCTTTTGTTCTTTAAACCTCTTTCTCTCAGGAAACTATATGTTCCCCTTGTCACAAGTAAATGCCTTATTCTCCATTATGTAAATAGTACATGAACAGGGTATCCGGAGTTAACTTATTCTTCACCTCTTAATGTATTCATATTTCACCACTTCAATATCTAGCTCCACCCATTGTATATATAAGGAGCTGCATACGTCCATTCTGTGCTTCTATCTGTGAATATTCAGTGAATATAGAATGCCTTATGTAAATAAACAGTGATTTAGTTGAATTGATAATTCTCAACTTATTTATTGAGTCTGATCCTGAAAATATCGTAACAATCTGGTAGCAGAGGATGGTTTGATTGACTCAATAAAAACTTAAACCTGTCTAAAAGAGATAGGCCCAACACCAGGGCATACAGCAAAGAAATGGAAGCGGATCAAGAAATAATCGATGAGTCCACGAATGCAATTTCGAGAGAATCTGAAGAATACACCACAGACGACGAAGAAATAATAAATGAAGATGATGACCAAGAAGAAAACGAAATAGAAAACAACGAACTCAGGTCAGAGATACTAAAACTTTTAAAAAGCCAAAAGAGCGATGAAAGTCTCGTCGCGAACCTCCAAGATATACTAAAAAACAACGGAGCAGCGAGAGAGAAGCACATCGCTACTGAAAAATCAAAAGACTCAAAAATAGTGAGTAATATGCTTGCAGATGAAAATGCAACGAAGAAGAAAACCAACAATCCCGCGCAAAATTTCGAATGGCAGCCATCTTGGTTTCAACAGACCCCTAAGATGAGCGAAGCAGAGCCAATCAGAAAGCAGGATTCAAAATATCTGGCGCGAAAAGCCTTACTCGATGCAAAAATGAAAGAGAAAAAAATATATATCTCAGAAGAATCAGACACAGAGAACGAAGAAGATTCAATAGACATGCAAGTAAAATCAGCAATGAAAACACTTTTTGCAGCATTTGGACCAAAACTGAAGATCACCAAAAAATCAACAAAAAAACAAGCAAGCGAGCCAACGCCTCAAAATCTACCCGCTCCTATCCAGACGGCGAGAGCACCGACGCCTGAGCCCAGAGAGCCCTGCAGATACCGCCCCACGCCGCAGACTAATCCAAGGACCAGCACCTTCAGCGAAAGAAAACGAGCGCCCGCTATCACCAGGACTCCAAAGATCAAGCCGGAGACTGTTTCATCGGAAGAAGAACAAAGCGAGGGAGCTGCAGCAGCGAGAACCTCTCAGGGTGACTCCAGGAACGAAATGAGCAACGCGCATGCGCAAGACTACGCAGACAACTTCGGAAGACATGAGATGCGGAGAGAAACATGCAAACTCGTCGCTAGCATCCCCATGCCGTTTTGCAACTTTCACCATTTGCAAGACCACGGACTACCTCTGGTTGTAAGTAATGGACCCAACAATGTTGGGAATTTACCCAATGACTTCCCAAAGCTGAGGATAGATGGCATTAATTTGCAAGAATGGTATCAGCAGCTCCAGGTTGTCTTTATGAAAGAAAATTTACTCTTTTTTATTACTAACCCCCCCCAAAAGACCTTGGACTCTAAAGTTAGATTGCCTACACCATAGAGCATTCTTCTTATTAATTTCCAGTGTATCTCCTGCCATGTATCACAGTATTAAGCAAAATCTGACTGTCTCAGAAATTATTCAATGCATGTTTAATTTATTTCACAGTGAAAGTGTAGCCACTACCACAAGAATGTCTAAAGATTTCTTCTCTTCTAGGATAAAGCCAGGGGTTACCATAAGTGAACATTTAATATCTTTAAACAAAATTAGAGCAGAACTGCACTTAAGGGGGGAAGTGATTTCAGATCAAACGATGAAAAGTGTTATCATCAACTCACTTGACCCATCATGGGATAATTATATGTCACATTTAGACACAATCAATCTAGGATACTTATCCATAGAAAGTCTATCTAACAAGTTAATAGCTGAAGACAATTCAAGGAGGAGTCGTTATAACAACCACATAGAACACAAACAA